ATTTTGATTTTAGTTTCACCAAGATTCTCAGTATAGTTGCAGTCATGGAATAGTTGTCCATCAATGATAAGGCTAAAGGGGAGAGCAGTAGATTTTATGCTGAGGCCTGCCCTTGAAATGTATGCCTTGAAATCTTAACATTTCCAACCTCTAAACCTCTAAACACAGTTCACACTCTTTTTTTCCAGACATCAGGGACAGACTGTTGGTGCTATCACTATATGATAAGTCACTAAAGATTAACTATCACACTGCGTATAGCTGGGTTCATCAGTTGTATACAATTAATCTTCCTGTTCGTCTTGCCTGGCATGCCTCTCCTAAGTTTTAGTTGAATGTTGACCATAACAAGTTGGTAATCTGACTCAAAGTCAGCACTAGAAAATGACTGGCTGTTTTGGATGCTAGATAAAAGTTTCTTGCTGTCCATAATGTCATCAATTTAGCTGTGTGTGCATTTGTTAGGGGATACCCACATCCAGCATCTTGATGGTTTGGAATGATTGAATTTTGTGTTAGATATGTACAAATCATTTGCATAACAGAAGTCATGCAGTCATTTTTCTCTATCATTACCTACAATGGCGCATGACCATTCACCATGTTACGGTTTTACAACTTTGTGTATTGTTCAGTCCAGGGTGAAGTGTCCATTTATAATGTCATTGGGTCTTCATTTCCTTATGAAGCTCCCTTGCCATGTACTATTTATTCTAAATCACCATGTATGCTTTTCACCTATTGACCAATTTAATTCTTTCAACAAGATAGAGGAAAAATTGCATATGCTCATATGCATGAGAAGATATAAATGATAAAGTATTGTTTTCTGATTTCAAGACTACAGTTAAGCTCTCAGATGTCTACACAGAGAATGGCTCCTGTTTCTAATATCCATGGCTATATTTGGAAGTGAAGCAAAAAAGCTATACAAATTATTCATGGCACAGAAAAGAGTATTCTCTTGTCCTACATACAAAGGCAAAAGGAGCAATTTTACTGCAGTCTCCAAAAAATAATCAAATAGGACCTTGCATCACCTGCTACCATTGTTTCTGAGTTTTTATCACAAATCAAGATTCGTTATTATATGTTTCTGTACATGTTCATAAGTATTAAATTTTATAATACAATAGTTTTATTTATTTGATGATTCTGTAGCTTGGGAATAATTTGAAATTGTCTCCAGTAAGTATTCTCTTATTGTTATATAACTCATTATTGTTGGTGACATTTTATTAGAATTAGATCCATTAAACTAGCATGTTCAATTTTAAGTTATTACATTCAAAGATATCACTGGCTCTAGGTCATATTTATCATTATAATTAGATTAAATTATCAAAATATTTTATCAATGTATATTGCAGCATATTATAATTATGGCTATGTTCAATGGGTTCTCTGAAGAACCAAGATCTAGACTAAAATTTAATAGTAAGACCTATAACAAACAAAAAACAATAGTTTATAGTAAAAACAAAAAGCAAGGTATCACATTTAATGAAGAAAAAGTAGTAGAACTTGATGTGGGAGGTCCTTTTGTCTATGTGCTGCTTTCATTGGTTAATGAATAAAGAAACTGCCATGACATGTAGGGAAGAACTTAGGTAGCCAGGGAAGACAGAAATGAATTCTGGGAGAAAGAAAGCAGAGTCAGAGAGCCAACATGGATTCGCCAGACAGATGCTGGGAATTTTACCCATTAAGCCACTGCCACATGGCAATACACAGATGAATAGAAATGGGTTAAATTAAAATGTAAGAATTAACCAATAAGAAATGAGATCTAATGGGCCAAGCAGTAATTTAATCAATACAGTTTCTGTGTGGTTATTTTGGGGCTAAGCTAGCCAGGTGCCCGGGATGAACAAGCAGGCATTTCCCCCAACAAGAGCACTAAAAATATTTTTAAGAACTTAGCTAAAACTGGGCATAACGGTAAATGCATGTCTCCACTTCCAGCAGTGGGGAGGCTGAGGCAGGAAAGCAGACCTTGACACATACCAAGATCCTGTTTCAAACAAACAGAGCCAGAACAACAAAAAGTAGAAAATTTTGTGATTTTTAAATAAGTCATATGATTTTGACAAATAAATGAGCACCCCTTGTAGTAATAAATACTAGACCATAGCAGTAACATGTATATAATTTCCTCCACATTAAAAGAAGGAGCCTAACACAAATTATGTCGCAATGCTAAATAACTTACAAAAAGAACAGTGCAGGCAACTTATCCATTTCCCTGAGCTTCTCAACAAGATGTGGAAAGAAGTCCAGCATCCGTCCTGAGTAGTCATGGAAATCGGGACTCAGCTTCTGCAGCACCATTCTGGCCTGTGACAGTGGACAGAAAGTGTTTGTATTAAAATGTGCATAGCAAAGAGAGGAATGGCCACTCAGACTAAACTCTTTTCATTGTTGTTTAATCTTTGTTTTTGTCGTTCTTCAAACTAATCCTAGGACACTATACCACAAGACTGTGGCCAGCCACAGCAAGAACACACACAAACCACAGACTTAATAACAAACTTCTGATGTACTGTACACCACCCTGCAATTGTTAACGCCAACACAAATCTGGCAAGAGGAAAAGGATTTCTCAGTTAATGGTGCTGTTTCCACTGTAGCAGAAGAAAGGGGCCCTCTCCATGCAGCAGAGGCAAGCACAGCCAACCTGACTAAGAGGTTTTGAAAGACCAGATAAGCACAGGGAAATGTAACCTAACTATAGCATGTTTCCAAATGAAATAAAGAACAAATCAAACTATGGAGGTGGGGAGAGGATCACATGGAAATAAAATTATGTGTGCTATTCTTAAAAAAATTGGAAATCTCTATTTTTGGTGATAAAATAAGACTATAAGCTTACAAAATAAATGTGTAAACATATAGTTACAGGGTAAGATTCTAGTACTTGAATAGTTCTTAAAATTTAAAATAAAAATAGTGAAGAATAAAATCCCATGGAAGACTACAAACTAGTGTCTCTGGACATGACGGGGACATGGAAAACATGAGCTCACAGCAATATGGATATCTACCAAAAAGCTCATAAGATCAGTTCAAAAGTAATTTCAGCATAACTGAGGAGTGGCTCACAGTCTTGCCGTAGCTGAGGAGCTACTGCCAAAGATGGTTGCTGTGGGAGGGGACACTCGGTGTTCTTCACGCATGCTGATAGGTTGCCCACGTTCCAGTGGACGGCCCCACACAACACTCACACACAGGAAGCATTGAGTTTAAGAAGGAACCCGTGAAGTTGAAAGGGAAATGGTAGGAGGACTATGGGAGGATTTGGAGAGAGAGCTGGGGAGTGGATTTGAAAACATTATACACATGAACATTAAATTCTCAAACAGTTATTTTTAGAGAGAATAAAACTCCAAAACTAAAAATGGAAGAATAGTAAAAATGTGTTTCAGCTACTTGAGTCCCATCTCTACGCTGCTAAAACCATCAATAATAATCCCAAACACGAGCCCTGTATTGTCTTGCATCTGCCATCAAATTCATGAAGAACCCATGGTCTCTTGCCAAGTTTTAGGGCACTCTAGAGAAGAGAGAGGAAAATAGTTCTCTCTCTCTCTCTCTCTCTCTCTCTCTCTCTCTCTCTCTCTCTCTCTCTCTCTCTCTCTCTCTCTCTCTCTCTCTTTCTTGCTCAGAACCACTACATATCAAGTCAAACTTAAATGTCTAAATAAACATTGAAAACTGCAAGGGAGAGATATGGTATTGTTGGTTGAATGACACAACTCAGGAAAACAAAACAGGGCTTTGCCCAAAATGCATGAAATTACCTGCTCCACATTCCCATTTTTAATCCAGTTTGTGAATTCTTCTTTTAAGCTCTCCTCATATTTTCTAGCATCCAACTTTTTAATGACTATTTTGTTCTTTAAATGAGTGAAGTTCTCTGGACACAGGTTCTGGAAAGGAAAGACCACAGAATTCTATAAAAATAATGCCAGAAAACCTAAATGCATTTCTCAATTATATTTTTCATTGACAGTTTTATGATCTCTTAGGCTACAAGCAACTGGGATTCTCTTACCTACCCATTCCTTCTGGTATATAGAACTGTATATGAACTCTTCAAAGGCAAAACGACAGAGCTAAAAGGCTTCCAGGGAAAGCAACCAGCACTCAGAACACAGAGAACAATGTGAGAAGAAAAGGATCTGAGGACTAGAAACCCACAGTGGGAAAGGAGACCCAGATACCACACTGTCTGGGAAGGAGAAAGAAGGGACATTTTCAGGAATTGACATAAAACATCATTTCTAGCCCATTTAATTGAGAAGATATAAGGTAATCTGCTAATCTTTTGTTAAATCACCAAATATAAATGGTGGAAATGGTGACCCTGTGTTTCTGAACAGCAATGAGGGCTCTACCATAATAGCATGGTTTCTTTGAATATTCTTTACCTGGGCTTTGGGCCAACTCTCCCAGACCTGAAGCATAGTGTCATATAGCTGGATGCTTTCCCGAGGTGAAAAGGCAAGGTCAGAAGGGAATCCATACTTTTCAATCTATGATTAAAATAAAATTAAACTTATTAATATTTTATTTTACCTACAGGGTGTGAATATTTATAGGGTATGCTTTGATCAATAAAATTGGGGAAAATTGTGATGATTGCATTGATGATTGTCTTTTAAAAATAATTTTTTAAAATTATGTGTATGTGGAGGAGGTTCTGTCCCCTCCCCCCCCCAGGCCAAAAGCAGGTAGCAGATCCCCTGGAGCTAGAGTTATAGGTTGTTGTGAACCACCCAATGTGGGTGCTAGGAGAAAAAACTCGGTCTTCTGCATGGTCTTCTTAGCTGCAGAGACCCCCGAACCCCAAAGCTAGCCTTGTGTTTTCTTTTTAATTATCACATGAGAGTGATTACTTTTGTAGGGAAACTAAAATGAAACAAAAATTAATCCAAGAATTCTCATAAGTTTTCAAATACAAATCTTCTGTTAGGTCACAGGCTTAGGGATGCTTAAGTTTCTTGCCCTTTACACAGGGTTTAGTTTTCATTTCTAAAATAAAATATTAGTTTTGTCCTTGCCACTAATTTGTGGTGAGAAATAAACTAGGTAATAGATACAAATCTTAGCCATATATCTCACACAGATTGGTTTATCATCCATTGATATGGTTTATCAAATAATTTCATGCTTCAAATGTATTAAGGAATTTAACAATTCTATGGTCCAAGCTGTTACTCAATCTAGTTGATTGATTCAAACTGGCAAACTGGCAAAAAAAGAAAAAAACTAAACCAATCTAAGCAGAGAACAAAGAAGAAATATAAATCATGATATAGTGGTATTCTCTTTTTGTTTATTTGTAAATACAATAGTTCCTATACCACCTGTCTTCTTCACGTTCAGTCCACACTGAGCAAGAGATGGAAGTGTTATTTCAAGTGTTTCCCAGGGCTCACAGCTCTCCAGACAGCAGCAGCTGTGCCTGGATGGCATGATAACTGATGACAAAGGTCAAACAAGACTTCAGTTTGCCAGAAACAAGACAGATTGGCTGAGGGCAATCCCTCACTAGTGATCCCTTGCTCCTGTGGGGTTAGGACAGCTCATTTGTACTCTCTTATTCTTACTTTGGGAAATCATTTTACTGATATAGCCATCAAAGAAACAGACAGATAGATAATTCTTCTCTTTATGTTCCTATAATTTATTACATTTTGGGATATTCTAAGCCATTCATTCTTTCAATTAATTTAAGTATAATAGAAAATATCTATAACTATTTACACAGTTAGAAATTACACTCACCTCTATTTTTGTTCTATAGAAAATGACCTATATAAGTACATGCTATGCAAGTGGTTGTTAAAATTCATTTAACAATGCTAACCCTAGCATTTAATCTATATCTTCACTAGCAAATCTTAAGACTCATACAACTGCATGACCTTTGCCGAAGTCACATAGGGTCAGACCACACTGTAACTACTCCATTGCTTTTCAGTTACTCCATTAATAGCTACCAAGAAGAGAGGGAGACACTTGGAGCAAACTCTGAACCAGTATACTTGAAGCTGTTTAAAGATATCATGCCTTAATCACTTTACACAAAACTAGTAATTTTTAGCTATTTTTAAAGACACTGGATAATGTTGAGAATGTCTGACAATCTATAGTTTTCATCAAGGGTGTGAGGACACAAGGAAGGAAAGAAGGTAAAAGAAAGATAAGAAGACAGGGAGTCAACAAATGAATTTTTTGTTATTGATGACTGAACTAACATCTATATTCTTAGTATAAGTTAAGACACAGGATTTCTTCCCTATTTCAGTTGAATTTGGAGCTTAAATTGGGATATTAACATTTATAAGAGAAGCTTTCTTCACAAATATTTTACTAGAAAAGCTCCATATTCAAATTTCATTTCACTGCAATACACATCCAAATACTGTCATTTGGTGCTCATATATATACATGAGCATATGACATACATGAGCATGTAAACATGATATACATGGTGCATCAGTATGTATGATAGACAAAACTTTCATATCAATACAGAAATAATCAATCTGAGATTACAACTGATTTACACCATTTACTTAGTTCTATAGTAGTGACATAGTTGTCCAGGTCTCCCTTCCATTATTTGTAAAATGAAACTGTAGTGGGACCTCCATCATACAATTGTGGTGCTTAAAAGATGTGAAATATGTGATTATTTTAAAAACATAATTCTAACCAGCTACCCTTTAAAATAGCTAGTATTCACACAACAATGTGTTAGTAACTGGAGAAACATGAGATTCATCCTGCAGTCATTATTTCAGAACGCTAAAAGAAAAGGATTCCAATGGTCCTCCTGTCTGTTTGAATGCCAATAATAGGCTGTTTTTATTACAGCTCTGTAGTAGAGTTTGAAGTCAGGGACTAGGATGCCTCCAAAAGTTCTTTTATTATACAGAATTGTTTTGGCTACACTGGGTGTGTTGCTTTTCCATACAAAGTTAAGTACCATTCTTTTGAGGTCTGTAAAGAATTTTGCTGGGATTTTGATGGGCGTTGCATTGAATCTATAGATTGCTTTTGGTAAGATTGCCATTTTTACTCTGTTAATTCTACCTACCCAAGAGCATGGGAGATCTTTCCATTTTCTGGTATCTAAGCCTTTTAATGAATAGAATTAAAATTAAGGAGTCATAATATAGTATCAGAATGTAGAATATACTTCATTTTTCAGGTCTTGGAGGAAAGAGAAAGAAATGTCTATTATTTTAAGCGCCAATGAAAGTTTAAATAAACATTTCGAGGTTGTAGAAGAAAAAAGGAAGAAAGGTATATGCAAGAAATAAAGAAATTATCACCCACTAACCATTCAATAGCCTTGTGGACATAATTTAAATGTCCACAATTGCTGAGTTATTACCAAAGAGCCATTACCTTATTGTCATAGCAAAAGGAAGCATGTGTTCCTATTTAAGATCATACACATTAGTCAAGTTTTCATGTGTGAGGCTTTTCCACATAAGGCTGTAGCAGCACTGAGAGAAAAGGCTAAGTACTGGCCTCGACACTTCATTAGTGGTGCAAAAGTGAGTTACTAAAGAGAGACAGGCAAACATGGGTGCTTAACAAAGGGAGATACAAGGAAAATGAGCAGAAATAATGTCCCTAGACTAACAAAATCATCAAGTAATGTGGGAGTCCCCACTATGTACTGTGATTACCATTAATGAATAAAGAACCTGCCTTGGCCTACTGACAAGGCAGAACTTAGGTCGCCAGAGAAGATGGAACTGAATGCTGAGGGAAGGAAGGCAGAGTCAAAGAGAAGCCATGGAGCCGCCTGAGTCAGACGCTGTTTGGAACTTTAGCTGGTAAGCCACAGACATGTGGGGATACACAGATTAATTAAAATGGGTTAAGATCAGTTAGTCAGTACGAAGCTAGAGCTAATGGGCCAAGCAGTGATTTAATTAATACAGCTTCTATGTGATTATTTCAGTTCTGGACACCCAGAACGAACAAGCAGTCCCCTGTAACAAATTGGCACCAACGTGGTGGAGTAAAACCACTTAAAAACCTGAGAGAGCTTAATTCTAGACACAAAAATACAGAGTTTAACATGGCTTCTTGCTGTTTGCTGGCAGTGTGCCACAGTTCCTTTAAGAGAGATTTTGTTGACTCAACCATAGCAAAAGAAAAAAAAAAAAGCCTCACATTTTTAAAATGCTGGCTTCCTGGGCCATGCCACTAGAGCAAACTCCCAGCTATGCAGCATTTCAATGGCATTTGTGGGCCCGGGTGTTTGTGTGCCCACTGGGGTCAGGAGGAAAGTGGCTGAGACCATGCCTGTGGCTCCATGTTCTCTGCCTGGGCAGGCGGCAGAATCAAGTCCACTAGGTTTGCACAGGTGGGAGAGCTGGCAGATTCCGGCCATACAGAGAGATGTTTCCTGGTGTGCAGTGCTCTTCATGGCAGATTTGGCTGTTACTCAGATTAAAAGGGTTTATGTGCTGCATGCTCATTGTCAGGGTTGGACTGCTGGGCACGGCTCCTACCTGGTAGCCCCAGAGCTAGCAGAAATAGTACGTCCACCATTTTAAAATTGGAGAGAGGTAGAACCAGCATCCAGAGCAGCTGCAACCAAGCTGCTTAACATTTAAAAACTCTTCAAGGCAGTAGAGAATTACATATAATGCAATAAGGACAAATTCAGACATAAATGAACTCTAAATGGGTCACAGTGGTGGATAAATGTATGTAGGTTTGGAAGAGAGAAAAAAAAAGAGTATAAAGAGTTGAAAAAGAAGTAAAAAAAAAGTCTTTAAAGACACAGAGTACAGATAGTCATAGATTAAAAGGAGTAAAGAAAAATAAGTCACGTAAAGATGGACTATATACAGAGACTAAATTATGTATATTATTGTGTTTTCTTTGAATTTTTAACAGTTTAAAAGCTAAGTATAGACAAACATTTTATTGTATGTGCTGCTAAGCTAAACCAGCATGTATATTATAAAGGTATTGACTTTAAAATATGGATCTAAGAATCGCTTACTTTGGAAAAAAGTTCTTCTCTTATTTTCACAGAAGATGACAACCTTTGGATTGCTTCCAAACCTATATGATTTTGTGGACTAAGAGCCCCTGAAAGGTTGCCTTGTACACCCCTCAAAAAAGTACTTTGCCCAATAAACAACAGGAAGAAGTTTGGAGAGAAATTACTATGCCCATATTCCCAAATATTGTTTATAAATGTTTGTTTACATTTAAAGGGGATATGATATAGATATGAATAATTTGCACTGATATAGATCTTGGTTAATTAACACAAATTTAAGGTTGGTTTTGTGATATATATATATATATATATATCTGCTCTTGCTTAAGGTATTGTGATTGTGCTGTTCATTTAAATATGTAATATGTAATTAAGAAATATAGGTTAATAGATAGTCATCTATATTATTCAAGCTTGTAGTCATATTAGTTAGATTTTCTAGATGTATAGAGATATATTTCAGTTAGATAGGTATTCTTCAAATCATTCAGAGACCTTCAGAATATGCCATTTAAAGTGTTTAAAAACTTAAGACTTTTCATGACAATGAGACACGTCTGCTCCTGGCAGCATCAGCTACTTCAAGAGGAAGATGGGCATTGAAAAGGCTTCTTATGGAGTTGGTTAGCCATTTGGGCAAGAAACTGCTCTTTCCTGGACTGATGAACTGGAAATGTAGGGCCCGCAGAGAGATGACTGCTGAACTTGTTTAAAAATGAGATGATCCTTCGGGGTTGCTACCTCATAAAAGACTCTACTAGACACTCTGCAAGATACAAAAGAAAATGACTGGCAAATTGCCAATATAGGCAGAAATGTCTTTGAAATTTCCTGCTTCATGAAAAAGTCTGCTGGATACTATGGACCTGTAGGCTGAAGATGGATGCCTCAACAGTTCAGAAGAACTTTGGATAACTGTCCAGACAGCAAGATGTCTCTGTCATTTCTAGAGTTTTGGAAGTTACTTTCAATGAACTTCCTGTTTACTTAGGTAATAGTATATCATTCAGGAGTCTTTGATGAAGTTGAAGAATAGGTAAATAGTTATAGTTTTCCTTAGTTATAATAGAAGATAAAGTAAATAAAAATATTGTAACTGTAATTCTTGCTTAATACACGTTTTGTTATATGTAATTTTATTATGTTAAAGTTGAAATCTTCTTTTTTTATTTAAACAGAAAAGGGGAGGTGATGTGGGTATCCCCTCTGTGTGCTGTGATTATCATTAATGAATAAAGAAACTACCTTGGCCTATTGATAGGGCAGAACTTAGGTAGGCAGAGAAGACAGAACTGCATGCTGGGAAGAAGAAGGCAGAGTCAGAGAGCCCCTGTGGAGCCACTGGAGACAGACTCTGGTTGGAACTTTAACTGGTAAGCTATAGACAGGTAGTGATATACAGATTAATAGAAATGGATTAAGTTAAGATGTAAGTATTAACCAATAAGAAGCTAGAGCTAATGGGCCAAGCAGTGATTTAATTAATACAGATTTGGTGTGATTATTTCAGGTCTGGGTAGCAGGGACGAACAAGTGGGGCCTCCTTGTACAATCAAGTAAAAGTATTTAATAATTTTTAAATACAGAGAATCCTGAGAGCATCATGACATTGAGAAACTACAGAAAAAAATACACTGCTGTTGGTTTTTTAAACCAAAATTTTAGTGTTCCCTCTGCATTCTAGCATCAAGCTGCAATTAGACCTCCTTATGCACAGCATTATAGTTTCAGCTGTTAGCCAGACAGTGCTGATCCATGGAACAACTGTGGCAAAGGTTGCTACTTACATGATCTATGGTTAGCGAGGCACATGGGTGAAAATGATCAAAGCAAATTTCATCTTGTCTCACAGAACATATGTGCTTCTCTAGGTCATTGTATCTCTCTTTGTGAGTCACTGAAAGGGGAAGAGTGAGGTTTCCAAATTATCAGAAATGTGGTGAGTGAAATAATTTTAACACAAATAGCCAAACTAAACAAAAACAAGGCTATACAACTACATGGAGCATACATACCAAGTCTAACTTTATATGACTGTTTGGCTTGCACTTGGTCTTTGTAATGACTGCCACGAGCACCAGAATTTCTTTTGGAAAAAGTTGTTTTCTCCATTGCACTGTCTACTTTTTCCCAGTAACTCTTTACCAACTGGAGCCACCTTTAAAAATAAATATATTACTTATGATTTTAATCAGTATTGTGCCCAATGGTTCATGCTTCACTTGGCTACCAGTCCTTGATATTATTTTGAAAACTGTGGGGTCATTAGAATGTAGGAGCTACATAATAGAAGTCAGTCACTAGCAGAGGGACTTTGAAGAGTAATTGACAACGAGCATCAGCTATCACAAAGGTTATACTAGCCACTGGTTCTCATCTAGCTCTCTCTGCTTCCTGTCTGCTGCCATGTAAACAAACTGCCACCTCAGGCTCCCACTTCCATGGTTGAAGCCTCACCTCCTTGCCTTTCCCATTGTGATGGGCTGAAATTTTTCTAAAACCTCTCGTAAGGTACTTTTGTTCACAACAACATGAAAGCAACTCATACATTATTTAATAAGAAAATAGAAATAACTTACATGAAATTAAACAATTATATAGAGAAAAATTTGCGTGTCTTAAAATTTTCACAGAACAAAATTAGTTTTATAGTCGCATTAACCTAAAATAGAATTCTAGCTTCCTTACTATTAACTCTGAATCCTGCATGAATCATTTAATATTTCTGTGCCTGTCTTTCATGTTTAAAAATGAATAGACTTGTAAAACTACTATTTTCTAATAATAACAATGGAAATACTACTAAATCTAATATTGATAATATTTAAGATAGATATTTATGTATATGCAAAATACATAGGAGGGAATATAACACACGGGAGATGTTGTTATTAATACTCAACATTCAAGCCCAAAGACAAGATGTGTGACTTCCCATTAATAAAGTTTTGCTCTTGTTCTAAATAAATAAATCTATAAAATGTGATGATCTTGAGATCTATGGATAAATGTATCATTCTATCACCTTTATTTAGAATAAATAAAAGAAATATGCATCCATCATTTTATTTTTGAGCTATGATATAATACTTCCTATTCAACTGCAGATCTGGTCACTGGGTGTTGGTGGAGGTTGCACGTTTGTTCCTGGCAGCTCAGACCCAAAATTATTATACAAAACTGTATTAACTAAAACTCTGTTTGGCAAATCATTTAAATGTATTGCTAGCTAGCTCTTATGTCTTAAATTATCCCATTTCTATTAATTTATATTTTACCATGAGGCTCGTGGTTTACCAGTAAAGTTCTTCGGCAAGTGTATCTCCTGCAGAGGCTTTATGGAATCTCACTGACTCGTCTTCTTTCTTCCAGCATTCAATTTAGTTTCCCCATCTAGAGCTATTCTGCCCTATCATAGGCTAAAGCAGTTTCTTTATTCATTAACAAATAAAAGTAACACATATTCAGAAGGACTTCCCACACCAGCTGGCTATTTTTTGTAGAGATTGCCAAAATTTATCTGAAAGAACTAAAGAGATTTTAGCTTAAAGATTCCGAGAGTGCTATAAGTTAACCAGAAAATGAGGTAAGTCTTAAGCCCATAAAAGATTATAGAATCCAAACTATCAAAATAGATAAACATTCTGTGCAAAATAGAACCTAATCCATACTCAGTAAGATGCTTGGGGTTGCTTATGGTAGCTGAAAGAGCCAAAAATGGACATCGGATCATGACAAGGAGATGCTCCCAGATTTCTGCTCCAATTTCTCCACCAAGACAATGTACCTATAAAAGAAAAGAATATTTTTAATTGACAGGTCAGTTTTAAGAATGACAAGTTAAAATAGCATATGGAATCTTAAATTGGTCATAGGTATTTCCCATTACCTTTAATGAACCACACCAAGTTTAAAGAAGTACGAGAGAAATACAGATCGAGGACATAATTGTTGCTGTAGGAAGGCTTGCTTGTGGTTACTGGGGCGTTGCCTCTTATACCATACTATATACTTATACTATATACGTGTCTGCCCATTCTTTATTGCCCTGGCTGCTCGTTCTGATTGTTGAATTGCTGGATTCGATTTCTGTCCACCGTTCAGGCAGAGAATTATGATTTGTGAGTTTACCCCTAAATAAAAACTATCTATTTCTCAATTCTGAGCTAGTGGGGGATTTCTTTTAAGCATCCGTTCATCACTTGGTGCCCACAGGGATTTAAGCTCCACGCCTACCAAGTGGACAGCCTGGCCATTACATGGCCCAGACAGGCTTGCTTTTGCCTAAGCAGTTTTGGTAGAATCCCCATCAAAGCTCTGGACTTAATCTCCAGGACACAAATTATTTATTCATTTATTATTATTATTATTATTATTATTAATCATTATTATTACGGAAACAAAGTAAAGATTAGCTAAATATATGTTCATTTTATCTTTTTAGTTTAAAATCCAGGAATAAAAGAATGGAGGGCTGACTAAGAAGCCAAAGACAATGGCACTGGGTTTTGATTCTACTGCATGTACTGGCTTTGTGGGAACCTAGTCTGTTTGGATGCTCACCTTCCTAGACCTGGATGGAGGGGGGAGGACCTTGAACTTCCCACAGAGCAGGGAACCCTGACTGCTCTTTGGACTAGAGAGGGAGGGGGAGGGGGGAGGGGGGAAAGGGAAAGGAAATTGGAAGGGGGAGGAGGTGAAAATGTTTAATAATAATAATAATAATAATAAAATAAATTGTCAGTGTGGAATAAAAAAGAATGTACTTTTCTATGGGGCTCTAAGTCTCTGAATAAGCATACTGAACGATGCTGCTACAGAACTCCACTAAGTGGCTTCCATCAGAACGTTTGTATCTACACTGGTTTTCATCCCACTCTAGTGCTCAGGGACACTGATCCACAGGTACTACTTCAGTGGGACTTTAGGTTCTCTGGATCTCTAGCTCTAATGATGGAGTAAGCTGAGATCATTTTTCCCTTGGCCTCTCCCAGATTGTCTGACCCAGCTGTGTACCTCTGCTAAGGTTCACTGCTTGAAATATAGCCCATTCGATCAGAATCTCCTCTGCAACCAGAAGCAAATGCTTCCTTACCTTGTCAGCTTAAGATTAACAATAAGTTCTTCTCCTTGGATTTCCTCACAAATGCCTTTTTGAAAACATACTTTTAGAACCGTATTTTGAATGGGCCATTTGTTTTCCTTTAAGATCACAACAAACAGAATCATTTCCCATCACAAAGCAAAGCATAAAACGCTTTGTTTGGAGGCTGGACTGGATTTTTATTTTTGTGTCATGAGTTTAATTTTTTTTCCTCTACAACAACATCCCCGATGAAGATTGTTCCTCATGCATGCAGAACTCTCACCATTACACCCTACTACTGATTAACAACAGAAGCAGTGAGCCAAGAGGGTGATTCAGCTGGGGAAATGTTCAGAAGAGAATTGCTTCCAAATCTGAACTTTGTCCAAGGGGCAGATGTCCCAAAGCAGCAAAGACATACAGAATATATGAATACTAAGAAGTTATCCTGAGATGTGAAATCAAGCCTACCTCATCAAATATGACATATCTGATCCTCTTCACCCAGCTTTGGCGATGAGGAGCGAGTAGCAGAATTTCAAAGCATGCAGGCACAGTAACAAGGACCTAAAAACAGCAGTAGGATGTGAGGTAACACTTAGAATGTGCATAGGTATAAAACTGCATGAGGCAAAGCTTCTTGAATATATCTTCTAATAATTAAGATCTGATACTACATCTAAGGATTGGATTTATTACACTTGGGATATTAGTCTGAACAACAAGACTTCAATATTCCTTGGACAAAATGGTAAAATATCAAATTTTAAAGTGCAGGTTCTTGTTTGTGAGCCTTCCAACTGTGTCCAGCCCTGAATGGGGCACATTTTGATCTCTTTCCAAACACAACAAACAATAAAGGAAATGAAAAGAATGAGAGAGCCAGGGGAAGGCATAGTGTATTGTGAACTGTCGTCTTCTGAACAAGGCCTGGCAGTTCCACCCATGCACTCACAGTAACTGTGGTTATCTCTGAACAAAATCTGCAGATCAAACCAGTCAAAATTCCAGCATGAATGAGGAAGCACTCACAAGGCCATACCCCGGCAGAGGAGTTAATTGCAGGTGGTGGCTGCTGAGAAAGAGATTTGATACTGGGAGGCCTGTGAGTTGGAGGGAGGGAAGGGAGATAGAAGGAGAAAACAGGGTAGGTGGATATGCTCTTAATACACGTCAAACACATATAAAATTCTCAAGGAATAAATAAAAATGTTTTAACTAAATAAGCACATATACATATATATATATATATATATCAATTAATTTTTGTTTATGTTTTTCAAGACAGGGTTTCTCTGTGTAACAGTCCCGACTGTTCTGGAACTCACTTGGAGACCAGGCTGGCCTCATACTCACTGAGATTTGCCTGACTCTTCCTCCAAAGTGCTGGGATTGAAGGTATGCACCACCATGGCCCAGCTTAATTTTACTTAATTCTTTCAAATCTAACACTAACAAAGAGTATGTGTTAAAGATGTTTCTTTGTTTTTTTTTTAATTTTATTGATTTTTATTAAGCTCTACATTTTTCTATGCTTCCCTCCCTGCTTCTCCCTTCCCCTTCAACCCTCCTCCAAGGTACCATGTTCCCAGTTATCCAGGATATCTTATCTTTTCTACTTCCCATGAAGATTAGATCTATGTATGTCTCTCTTAGGGTCCTCATTGTTGTCTAGGTTCTCTGGGATTGTGATTTGTGGGCTAGCTTTCTTTGCTTTATGTTTAAAAACCACCTATGAGTGAGTATATGTGATGATTGTCTTTTTGGGTCTGGGTTACCTCACAAAATAACTTTTTCTAGCTTCATAATTTTCCTGCAAAATTCAAGATGTCATAAATTTTCTGCTGTGTAGTACTCCATTGTGTAAATGTACCACATTTTCCTTATCCATTAGAAGATGTTTCTTTTAAAGGCAATCCAGGCAACACATTGCCAAGTCTACAATATAATGCTCTACAAGCATGTCTTAGTTTTCATTTTATCCTAATTAATTATTTATCTCATAATTCAATAAGACAGAACACTATAACTTCACTAACACTACAGCGTATTCATTAACTACAACACAACAAAAACGTTTTAACTGATATGAGTATCTAACAAGAGAAAGTAATTATGATAATATATGGCTGTTCACTAAATTTTGGTAGCATGTAAGATCACTGTATCATTTTGAATTCATTGTAAAGCAACATGATGAATGAGATATAAACTAAAAGTTTAAATCAAAATGAATATATCTTTAGAGAAAATGAGTTCTATTTTTCACATTCTTTAGAACTTGACAACTTTGTATTTTCTCTGAAGCAGTTTCGTCCTTCACAAATTCAAGAAATTATTTTCACAAATCTTGAGAAGATGTTAGATTTCTAGTCAAAAAGACATATCATTGTTATATAATCTAATATTAAGTTTATTAAGTAGTATGGCAAACCTGGCAGTTCAGGGCATCTTGACGATAATCCCTAGTGAAAACGCCACACACAACTTGACCAGCTGGCAAAATTTTGGTGTAACGATTTTGAACAGTTGCTACCACTTGATTAACAAGTGCCTGATTGACAGGAAAACAGATGTATTAGCTACATAATAAAATGTAGGTCAGCAAAATTTAATGATGGAGATGTTCAAAACTATGTTCTGCTATGAACTCAGAAAACTAAATAAACCCTTTTATCTACCCACTCTACAGTAAAAAGCTCTCTCATTGAACTGTTGGACTAAAAATCTGAACTTCTTTGATTAACAACAACCTATATTAAAACAGACATAGAAAACAATTATATGGAAGTAAAATGATAAGCATTTCCTATAGAGCAGAAAAACTAACACATACAGTGCAGTTAAATGATCACCACTTATAATCCGAGGCTATCACAAAAAGAATCTCAAATAAATTTGTATCTCATATTTCAGAACCTCCCTCAGATGTCAGAAGCTTGAGTATATACACAAATCTGTATAGTCTCACTAAGGATCAAGCAGGTAGTATGGCCAGAGGAATCTATAAACCTTCAAACATCTATTACACACTTTGATTGAATTATTACACTTTTCCCCCAAAGTACACACCATATAAATGAAACTGTAATATTTATAATACATCTATAAATACGTTTTAAAGTGACTTTCCAGTTATTTTAATGTATCTGAACACACAACGCCTCGTGCTGGCTATTGTTATGTCAACTTGACTCAAACTTGAATCATCTGGAACTAGGAGAGCTCTCCTGAGAAAATGCTACCATCAGATGGTCCTGTGGCTAACTTTCTTGATGAATAATTAATGTGGGGGGGGGCAGTTTACTGTGGAGAGTTTCACCCCTGGGTTAGTAAACTTTGCTGCTATAAGGAAGCAGGATGAGCAAGCCATGACAAAAATAGCCAGTACTCAGCACCCTCCATGGCCTCGGCATCAATTCCTGCATCTAGGTTCTGAAACAGTTTGGGCTCCTATCCTGATTCTCTCAGCCATTAACTGTGTTATGTAAGTGTAAGCTGAAATAAACCGTTCCTTCCCAAAGTTTCTTTTGATGATGATATCTTATCACAGCAATAGGAATACCTAATGAAGACAGTCTCCAAACGAAAATGTGAATAGTCCCAATTACACAAAGATTTTAACATTACCATAGGAATGAATAACTGTAATAAGCTAAGGTAGAAGCCTTATTCATGAATGTATACTTCATTGTGGTTCATAAAGAGATGTATTATTCATTACACAAAATTTGAGGAATTTGTAAAAAAAAAAAAGCCAACTCTTTCATTCTAAAAAAAAAAAAAAGTAGGCAAAGGGATGCCCTCCTCCTTCTCTCCTCCACTCCCCGAACCCTACCCCTCACCCATCACTACCTGAGGCATATGGGTGGGTTGGACCTGTGGTCATAAGAACAGAAAACTGTCTCTGACCCCTACCAGCTAAAACTCGGAAGAGCAAGCCCTGTACCCAGGCAACACAATGGAGCCAAGTCTACTGGCACAGGTGTAGGTGAGCCAGCCCTGAAGTAGTGAGCAAGGGATAGCTAACTCCATTACCCAATCTGTCCTATGATGATATGGACAGAGGAGAGGTGCCTCTCCCCCCATCAATTCTTAAGGCAGGTGTGAGTACTAGCCCTGAGGTTACAAGAACAGGAGAGTTGTCCCTGCTCCTCACCAGTTTCAGCACTTGGAAGAGCTGGTTCTGCACTTCACCTAGGTAACAATAGAGCCAAACTTGTTGGTGGAGGCGTGATGTGCCAGCTGTCATCACTACCCATCGGTCATGTGGCAGTGTAGGAAGGTGAGAGATGCCCCCTTTCCCCCTCACTCCTTACTGCCTGCAGCAGGTGAGAAAGCTGACCCTTAACAGCTGCAGCACTCAGGAAATGGCCCTGCCCCTCAGCTAGGAAGCACAGCAAAGCTGCCTGGTGGATGAAGGTGAAGGTGACCCAGCCCCAATGTTATGAGCAAAGGAAAGCCGTCCCCATTGTGGTAAAATGGACAGAGGAAAGATGCTCTTCCCCTTCCCTCTCATGCCCATTAGTACCTGGAATGAGTAAGAAACTGGCACTGGGGTTACAGGAGTGGTAGTGTCCCTACCCTACCAGCTGCAGTACTCAGAAGAGTGACCCCTTTATCTCACACATTACATAGAAGATGCATAGAATAAAATTTTTAAAAAGTAAAAAAGAGAAGAAAAAGAAAAAGGTAGACAAATGTGTCATCAAGTACACCATGAATAAAGAAATATGACAGACCAAAATTCATAAATAATAATACCACCCAAATCACCAAAGAAATGCACATCCAAATATGCAAATATAAAAATGCACCTCTCTAAATGAACAGAATTCTACTACCACTGATGGTAGCAGAAGTTCACTGAATGACAACGGGAATCTTGAGAAACATTTGAGATTCCATCTCACTCCAATTAGAATGATTAAATCAAGAAAACAAGTGTTAACAGTTGGGAGAAATATGTGGAAAGGGGAACCCTTAATCATTACTGGTAAAAGTATAGTCTGGTATACCCATTATAGAAATCATCACTGAGGTTTCACAAAGCATGAAAAATGAAACTACCTCATGACCTAGCTACATCACTCCATCCTGGGTATATGCCCTAAAGTCTTCCTTTCTTACTAAAGAGATATGTGCACATCCATGTTCATACTTCCACTATTCCAATAGCTAGGAAACAGAAGCAAGCATGATGTCCAGCAACAAATTAATAGAAAAAATGTTGTACAAATACAATATTCTATTCAAAAAGAAACAAACATGAAACAATGTTGTTCAAAGAAAATGAATGAAGCTGGGTATTATTACATTAAGCAAAATAACACAGACACAAAAAGACAAATAACACATGTTTTCTCTTATATTTGGATCATAAACTTTAGTTTTTATTATATGTATAATGTAAGAAAGATTGGGTAGGGGACTTAAACTAGAATGGGAAGCATAAGAGGGGAAATAGTGCAGAAGGAAAGGAGGGAAATAAGATAATAGAATATATGTGACTTGAAAGTGGAATGGGGGCTACATAAGAATAAAGAGAAGCAGTGGAGGGGAATACATCACAGGGGAGGTAGTGGTGAAGGGGAGTCAAAAATTATATACAAAAATTCTATTATGAAGCCCATTACTAATTTTTAACTTGTGAAAATAAATTTAAAAACTAGATATACCACATATCCATGTCTAATACTTCTGAGTAAATTCTGGAATAAAAATATATTACATGCACTGGATCCCTACCTTTGTGGGTGAAACATACACAACCACACCTTCGTCACTCTCCTTCAGCACCTTCTCCATGCAGTAGTAGGAAGCATAGGTTTTGCCAGAGGAGGTTGGAGCAACAATCACTGCAGATTCGTCGTTATCCACCACATCCAGGAGCTCTCGCTGCAGGGGTCAGACCATGATTTGCATCAATCAAACAAGTCATATGCTACCCCAACAGATCATTCCTTTACCATTCTGATTTTTCTGAACCTCAGTGATGGAGAGCTGCAGACACACAGAAAAATTAAAAGTAAACTCTGATAGATGACTCAGTCTCTCAAACGATGCAATTTATTTGCTTTTCAATGGCTGTGAGGGTAGTCTTACATGTGAAAATGGAGTAGAAAAACTAAAAAGAACTATATATGAAAGGGAGACTATTCGGGACAAAGAAGGAGCCAATGAGGAAGGCAGTAAAGCAAGATGTATTGACAGAATTGTGACCAAAGTATACAACATAGAGGGAAGAAAAGACCATAATAGAACATGCTCTTTTGTACAAAAAATATCTCTCAAAAATAGTGTCAGAATAAGATCTCACTATTACGAAGTTTGTTTTTAATGTATTAATAGAGAAATATAGTTGTTGGAACCAGCCAACATATATTAGTATGGCAGTAAGCAAATGATGGAAGCACAGAAATACCAAAGATTCTTTATTTTAAAGCTTACCCTTGAAGGGTGACTATTTGGGAGCATCATATTTCATCCTATTATTTTTTCATCAAGATGTGAGTAGTCAAAAGAATGGAAAACCTATGTGAAGGACAGAAGACAGAAGGTACTCTCAAATCGCAACCTGCCATTCTGTGAATTTAGTCTTCCCCACATGCTACATCAGAATGAAAAGGGCATGAAAGAATTAGAAGGTGTATGGAAAACAGAAATAAATTGTCCTGCCCTGTAGCCCACACTGAAATAGGGCATTGGTCCCCCACTTAAGGAAAAATAAGAATTTTGATATACAAGGTCTCTACCCAACTAGCTTTCTCTGATTCTAGCCTTCAGTCTTACACTTCCTCACACAAGCTGATCCACCCCAATGTGATGTCATTCTGTTCACAAGCTGGCACTGGAAGCTAGGCTCATGGAGCCATCTAAGTATCTCTACATTAAAGCCAGAGTGTCTTGAGTTTTTCATTACATTAATGAAAAATGACTTACAAAATCTGAACTGACTTGAACAACGAGTCAGATTGAACCTACAAAATTGCATTTCTATAAGTAAATAATACTCAAGTTATCATATATATAATATATATATATCAATGATATATATATATATATATCAATGTGTGCAGAAGCAGTTACTTCCAAATTTGTAGCCATCAATACTTATCTTATGGGTGTTTACAGACATATAGTCAGAATGGTAGTAAATATATAAGCAATTTTTCCACTCTTTAGACTACACAAACTTCTTCATGAGTATTTATATTGTTCACTAATGAAATTCTGTTAACAGAAAACCTGGAACGTGGTACAAAATGATAATAGCTGTATAGCACAGACATTTTTAAGCTTTGACTCTATGTATGCTAATTCATCCAAAACCTTTCCAAGGAAATGATAATTTTAATTTCTTTAAATGGAAAATTTTAGTCCAAATGAGCCATTTTAAATAATAATGAACTTTAACTGAAATAACTTTTAAATGTAATAATTCAATATTGAGAAGTCCATGACAAATACAAATACTAACACACAGAGAGAAAAAGAGAGAGAGAGGAGGGAGGGAGGGAGAGAGAGAGAGAGAGAGAGAGAGAGAGAGAGAGAGAGAGAGAGAGAGAGAGAGAGAGAGAGAGAGAGAGAGAGAGAGAGAGATGGAGATATAAGAAATTCCATGGTGCATAAAATTCTATGATGCATACATGATTAAAATATATAATAATTAATTAATTTTTTATATTTTACCTGCCATTCATCGGGAATAAAATCTTGGACTCTGTCGTCTGGATCTTTTCTTTCTTCTCTTATCAAATGGTGACCCATATATTGTAGTTGGAACCTAGCTGGCCCAATTCCAACTGAATATTTATTCATTTTTTTCAGTTTTATGTCATCTGCTTTATCCTGTATTGTTTTAAAAAATTATTTTGAAAGCAATTAAGTTATACCATGACTTAAATGTTGAAATGTTTATAACTGACTTTCTTCAATATGAAAACAATTTTAATAATTCTTTAAACATCTTGGTGGCATTGCCACTTTTCCGAAACACAAGCAAATCAGTAGAAGTCAAGATTTTCAAATGTTTACTCTAATATTTGTACCTAAAGCCTGACATATTTACATCATCACCATTATAGATACGAGCTGTTTTGTTAGAATTAAGTATTTTGTTAGCTTTAAAAGTCTGCAGAAATCATTTGACATTTAGTGTGCTAGTCAATTAATATAAAAATTTCCACTTGAGTAACTCAGATTTGGTAGTTGGATTAACTAAGATGATATTTTCTATTAAAAATGAACATAAAAAGATCACTGTACTTGAAAGGGTGCTGTATATATAGCCAATTACAGCTAAATAAAATGAAGCTTTTATAGTATGTTACCTGAGTTGGATACAAAGAACTTGCTAGTTCATCAAACCCTAAACACGTAAGACATCTGGCTATGAGTTTCTGATCTGCTTCCTGCAGAAGTTCAGAGTGTTTGTCCAACAAGGAATGAATTCTCTTCATCATATCAACAGCTATGCTGAAGTCTTTTGTTGTTTCACCTTGGTACAAAATGCAAATAATAAAATTGTTATAAAAGTTATCAAAGTAACAAATGTTTATTAACAAAGAGCAATCATCTAGCTTATTCACGGATATTTATGAAACCATCTTACTTAGCATTAACAGATGTTTGAGAATAGAAAGGACAAGATAAAATTCTTACAATTCATAATTAAAACATTAAATTGAAGTTTATTGAATTTCATGGTGAATTTTAAAGATTTCTCTGTCTCATATTCCTATGTCCCCTTTGTTAAAAGAAAATAATTGCATGATTTTAAATATAAGATTATAATCTTAGCAACATTCATTTTAGCCCTATTGTTCACAGAGAGCTACTGGATGTAAACCTTTAATCTATTTGTTCAGTGCAGTCCATGTCTTCCAGCGATCAGATCCAGACTCTGACAATCCTTCCACTTCTCTAGCATCACACACACTGTTTCTCCCCTCTGCTCACATCTTCATTCTCACTTCTCTTTTGGTTTCTTATGTTTCTTTTAGTTGGTGTACACTCTCACCTACTAAGGAAGTGCTATCAAACCTATATTGAAAGCTATTATACAAGAGGATGCCAAGTAAATGAAATAGAGGTGCTTCAAGCATCTCCAACTTTGATATGTCCTCCAAAACAATGACCTATTAGATAGAATAAACCCTTTATTCATGAAGTTGCTTTTATGAAAGTATTCTTCATCACAACAAATAAGGGGAAACTAAGTTAATAAGCAAGCATAAACACCAACTTATCCAGAAAAAAATGTTTATCATTGGAACTCAAAAGTAAATTATGAGTTCTACTGTGTCTCACTGCTATTGGTTCTGCTAACAATGCTCTCTTCCTGGTCAGCAGTTAGTTTAAAGCTTTCTCCAATTGTGCTTATAAATGTGCTTTGTCTTTGCTGTTGGTCACCTCTCTGAGATGCCATTACTCATTGATAAAAACAGAGGAAAGAACCCTTTATTAATTCTACTATACAAATTTCTAGTTAGTAGGTGAAAAGACACCGTCTTTACATCTCTTTGAACTCTAGCTCATCAAGGTAAGCCACCCGAATTACACCCCACACACCTTCAGCTCGGCACTGCTCCTTCCATGCTGTCAAGCAAGCCGTTAACCCAACTTTTTCAGCCTGAACTTTTACTGAGTTACTTTTACATGATTTCAAAAACTCTTCCAGCTTCTTCATCCCAGAGCTAAAATTCCTTTTCATCTCCTTCTCAATAGAAGATGACAGGGTATTCCATTGTTGTTCTTCCCTTTGTTCTTCCTTGGCAATCAACCTCTTCTTATTCTCTCTAGCAATTCTGTCAGCCTTAGTCTCCTGCCCAAATGGAAGGAAACAAATTTGTGACAAGAAAGAACTATCCCACATTGACATTTTTTGTGAATATTTTAAGTATGCTCAGATGATTTTGACCATCACCCCATACTTGAATAATCATAAAAATATGTCTTTAATTAAGACTGTTGATTGAAAACATAATAATTCAACTTTTTGAATATAAAGACTTGCTATAGATAATTTTCTAAATTTCTATGTTGTGTTATATATTAAAGGGTAAATTTAATATTATCAAATAGACCTTGCAAAGATTTATTTAGGTCTTCAAGCAGTGTCACTTTCTATTCTTTCCTGGACTGCATTTTTTTTTTTTTTTTTTTTTTTTCTTTTTTTTTCTTTATATGTTTTTTTTTTTTTTTTTTTTTTTTTTTTTTTTTTTATTTTTTAAAAAGTTAAATCATTATTTATATAAATACTTTGATGAAAGCATAGAAAATCTGTATAAGTCAGGCAAAGAAACCCATGTGTTGTATGCTTATTTTTGCTGGATTTGTGAAAAACATTCTGGTTGTTATTAACTAATAAACTACATTTTAATATTATTGCAAAATTTTAAGCCAAACATTTATTGACTTAATGCTTTACTTGATTTTCTAAATAAGTATATGTTATTGCATAGAGGAACATATGTAATAATTTATATGGAAGTTAGACTTTCTAGCAGGTATCATAATAAATATGTTTGTTCTTTGTGTTACTTTTCTGTGCTGTAGTCAAATGATATGGCCAAGAAAATTTATGGAAGAAAAAATTTATCTGAGCTTGTGATTCCAGAGGGCTAAGATCTGCTGATTGCGGTACAGAGGCATAGCACCTGGAGCAAGAAACGGAAAGTTTGTGTCTTAAACTGTAAGCAGGAATGGCAAGGCTTTAAGCTCTCCAAACAGGCCTCCAGTGACACACTTCCTCCAGCAAGGGCAACTTCCTGAGCCTCCCCAGACAGTGCTGCCAACTGGGGGCCACACACTCAAATGCTCAGACTGTGGGAGACATCTCATTCAAACCACAACACCCAAATAAGAAAAAAGATGGAAAAAGCCATCAAAGTGATGAGAACCACCAATTTAATAAAGAATATCTCTCCTGAGTAAACTGGGGGCATGGGGACCAAGGGAGAGGGTTGAACAGGAGGGGAGAGGAAAGGAGGAGAGCAGAGAAAAATGCATAACACAATAAAATCAATAAAAAAGAACAGTATCAAGAGCTTTTAATAATAATGGAATTTATGGAAACTTACACGTGGCTTTTTGCTCCTGGACTTACTGCAATCCTTCTTGGGCTTAGCACCTTGAGTTATGATGAGCTTAGAAGAGACTGATTCTAATGAGTTCCCATAAAATCGTTGAAAAACATGATATTTCTGCACACTTCTAAGATAACGGGGGTCTCTTGTACACTCTGAAGAAGAAAAAACTTAAAATGTAAAATGATTAGGCTTTCTCAGAAGCATCTCTAACTCTCCACACCACTCCATAAACAGGTGCTATTCTTTCTAGTATACAACAGCAATTTTGCCTGAGCAGTTTGCCCAAAAACTTAACCAAAATTGTCTTCAATTGGGCTATCCCATCTATAGAATGACTTTCAAAAAGTCTACAAAAGTGGCAATTTTTCATATATATATGTGTGTGTGTTGTTGTTGTTGTTGTTTACGGAATTGAACCTAGGATCTCATGCATGCAGTTTAAGGGTTCTGCTACTGGTCAACAACTCCCAGGAGCTCAAACACTTTCAAGACAATTTTTTTTACAGTCTGTTTCCAAAAGCAAATACTAAGAATGTTATTTAATTTTATTGATTAAATGTGTTCTTTCGTAATGGATATGGTACACTCTAATTACTTACCTCATTCTCTTTTAGATCCAATCTAACTTGACATTTCCCCCATCTCCATAAAAGTCTTTTTCCCAAACGCATGCATTTTTGTTTTGATTTCTGACACATTAACTTTAATTAGGACTGTGGGTTTGTCTATTGGCCTCTACAATGGAGCCCTGGGAGCACACCACTGGGTACACAACTGAAGCTAATGGTGACCCTCCTCCAGAATCCATCAGGATTAGCAGTAAGGAGTAGGGGTCCATGAGTACCTTTCCTTCGAGGTGATTTGGGTTTTTTTTTTAGAGGGGTTCTTTGTTATGTTTTAGAGACAGACTCTATGTGTTACCTGTTTGTGCCCTGTGAATGAGCTTCAGTAGGGAAAATCAAGAAGAAAGCCATCTGAAGTATTCTGGTTCCTTGAATTAATGGATAGGGAAAAATAAGGCCCTCATCCTGGGACACAGTCATAGAGCTGAGAGCTTCATCACTATATATTACACTTCAAAGAACATCCAGATTTCTTAAACTACAAGCCTTATTTCCTTAACACAGTGTCAAACTCAGGAGAGAGAAATCACAAATGCACTCCTCTGCCTAAACCACCTCCACCCTCCATATGAATAACCACCAGGAAACAAAGGGAGAAATCTCTGTAACATCCTTCCGGTTGTCCATCTGAATGCCCTGTTAAATGTTCTTCCCCAAAACTGTTGATCTGAGTTCACAATGTGATTTATACTTTGAAATAAAGGCCAGAGTAATGTAGATTTCAATTAGTTTAGTAGAAACGGCAAGCTCACCATTGAAATTGGCCTTTGTCCTGTCATAGTCATCACTGAGAGGTCTGTGGGAATGCCAGTGCACAAGCTCATCGAATTCCTTGTGCTTAACCAGCGAGGAAACAATGGGGTCATCACTGGGAGAGAAAAGAAATACAAGCATATATCAAATACCAGGCCTCCAAATCCAACACATTTTATAACTTTGAAAACCATAGTTTCTTCTCCTCTTTCTGGGATACAACATGTGTAGTAGAAGGCAACAAAGCATTTTCTTAGAAATTTCAGAAGACAGGATCACTTCAGGTCTCCAACACTCTCAAACATTCCTTGTATGTTAGGGATAGAGTGCGTTGTTCTCCAATTAAAATAACACAGATATAATAAAGATGGGCAATGGGAACATGCTCCAAATACATATTACATGTAATTTACTATGTTAATGTGTCATATTTCTGTAGTTTATTCAGAAAAAGCCTTCTCAAAGGCTTATTCTTAATAAATAGCTATTTTCGTTCCAAACAAGTATTTATTAATACATACGGATGCCTTACCTCTTTAGGAAAGGCAATTCTTTCAGAATGTCTCCAGTAAATTCATCAACCAAAGCACATGACATTGGAATAAAACCCAAATTTGGCATCTTCTTCTGGGAACTTTCTGTAAACAAAAGTAAATAAGACCAAGTTAAATGTGAAATTTTCAGAAAGGAAAACAATATATTGTTTCTCAAAATTTCACATTTAAAAACATTTCATATTCACTTCATTTATATTTTAATTCCAATCCTGCTCATAAAGCTATTTCCTACTTTGAGAATATAGGAACATAATAGAAAATAAATTAATAATAACTAAGCAAATAGGTATATAGATGAAAAATAGGTAGTTCAGCCGGGCGGTGGTGGCGCACGCCTTTAATCCCAGCACTCGGGAGGCAGAGGCAGGCGGATCTCTGTGAGTTCGAGACCAGCCTGGTCTACAAGAGCTAGTTCCAGGACAGGCTCCAAAACCACAGAGAAACCCTGTCTCGAAAAACCAAAAAAAAAAAAAAAAAAAAAAAAAAAATAGGTAGTTCAATGGCTAGAGAGTCAATAGGTATAGCTGGATAGATACATTGTGATAAAAATGGCAGATTATTGATAGGTGATAAAGAGACAAATAATAGATGATAGATAATTTTCTGTGGTGCTTATGTTCAAATGTCTAATCCTTTTATTTTTGTATAATAAGTGATAAAAATTCTAAAGATAACAATCTGAGAGATCATATACATAGTGTAAAATATAAATTAAAATAGGCAAAAACAAAGGTCATGAGATTGAGATTATTACAATTCTCCCTTTGAGCTTCCTTTCGGTTTATATACATGCTTATGCAAACACAGGTAGATAGGTGACAAAATGCTAGATCAGGTAGACAGACATATGACAGTTAGATGGTAAGTAGGTAGGTTATGGATAGATGACAGACAGACAGACACAGATAAACAGAAAGACAGATAGATAGATGGACAGATAATAAATAGATCAGACACATCTTATAGCTGTGATAATTGGCTAGTGAATAATTTTTATTTAACGTATTATTCATAATTCTCCTGATGCTCTCTGTTCTTGTGTTTTCCCAGGATACCTTCTGTAAACTGGTAGGTTAAGTACTTTTCTTTCTGTAACCACAGAGATCAAACCAGAATCTCTGAGAATGACCCTCAGTCAAAGTCATAACAGCAACTGGAGAATAAATACCCCAGCGTTCTTGTTATTTTCAAGAGATATTTCTAAGATAGTGTGAACCCCATTCTAAGGTTCTCAGTTGTTCCCAAAGTGGAAACCTGCTCACAGACAGGCTCTTCATAGTGCTCTTCATTTCCTGCCCTAACCTAATTCGAACCACTCTCTGACTGCTACAGTAAACTCCTTGCTCCAGTGTTCTTTTGTTGGGTGGGATTCATTGTCATAGGAGAATACACACACACACACACACACACACACACACACACACACACACACGTATGTATGTATCCTAAGTTCTCAGGAAACATTTCTTTTGCTACTTCCTCTAAAATCATTTTTCCTGAAATTCACTACAGTATTAAAGATGTTATTATGTTATTATGACTAAACCATTTTTTGTTTTTCTGCAAATATGCATACTATCCTCTACCCTAATATAATTTAATAATCACATATAATTCTGAACATTCTGAATTTTATCATTACTGAGAAATATGTCACTTGACTAATTCTTTAGAGTTAATTCTTCCTTTAGAATTAATTATGAATCATATGAGATGCTCTGTAGTTTTTACATGTTGCAGTTTCCGTTTGTGTGTCAAGGGAGTGCATTCTTCTGGCTTAATATGTTTTTGCATTTAACTTACCTGATTTGACATCCTAAATGTATAAAATTTGTCTTGATTAATTCAGGGAAATGTTAGGTCATTACTTTCTAAACAAAATTTCACTCACATCAATTCATTCTTTCTTTCCAAGTTTCCAAACGAACCAAAGGTTGGCTTTTGGTCTCCATGTCATTTAATACTTTATGTGCTGAAATTTAATTTTATATTTATTTAAGGTATATACCATGATTTAATATACTTATTTTGATACATATGAGTGTATGCGTGTATAGATAGATAGATAGATAGATAGATAGATAGATAGATGACAGATAGATAGATAGATAGATAGATAGATAGATGATAGATAGATACATAGATACATAGATAGATACATAGATAGATACATAGATAGATACATAGATAGATACATAGATAGATACATAGATAGATACATAGATATGCATAGTATTAGTTGGGCCTGGGGTGTATATCTGTGTTAGCACTTGACAGGTGGAGGCAGGAGGATTAGGAACTATGAAATATAAGATTAGCGTTAGCCCTCATAGACTACAGTAGCCTTATCAAGTACATCAAATACAGACCTATTATCTACCATATATTTATCTTCCATATTTGTACCCTTTGACCTACATTACCCCATCCCCACCACTATTTCCTCAATAACTACATATTTACTTTGTTCTACTACTATGTATTTTTTTAGACTGTGCATGTAATGGCATCACACGGTATTTTTCTTTCTGTGACTAGCTTTTGTCATTTCTCATAATGGTATATTTCACCTGTTCTATTTTCTTGTGCAAGAAACTGAGCACATAATCTCAAACATGCTAGGACACACTACTCATGAGGGATGTCTCCAACCTTAAGTATGACTCTTTTTCTATTTATTTATAGAACCAAAACTCCTCCATTATTAATATCCAATCAATTTTAAACCTGTTCAGTATTTTGATTTCTACAAGTCTGGTTATAGGCATAAAGACTATTTTAAAGTTTTTATTATTTTTCTCATTTCTAATTTTACATTTAATCTCTCTTAAATGTTTTCTACCTATATTCAGAAAATACATAATAATTGTGATGATTAAACAAACAGAACTTATCAGTTCTAAGTCCACAGCTGGCATGGGATTAGCCTCTGTATGATGTAAATACCTTTGGTTAACAAAGAAGTTGTTTTGGCCTGTGATAGGACAGAAAAGAGCTAGATGGGGAAAACTAAACTGAATGCTGTGAGAAAGAAGGCAGAGTCAAGAGACGCTGTGCAGTCACCAGAAGGGAAAGTCAGCTGGAATTTGCCAGTAGGCCATGAACTTCATGATAAAATATAAAATAATAGAAATGGGTTAACCAAAGATATAAGAACTAGCTAACAATTACACTAAAATGATTAGCCAATCAGTGATTAAAATAATATGGTTTCTGTATGATTATTTTGGGTCTAAGTAGACGGGAACAAATGAGAAGCTTTTGCCTACACACAGCTAATTGTGTTCTTAGTTATTCCTTGGCTCTTCTGTGAATTCTATTAGCATCCATGTTTGGCACATAATCCTATAAAAATGTTTATGATTTCTTCCTCATGATAATTTTCCAGATCTTTCCAATCACTTTCATTTACTGTATTAGAGGGGCCTTGTGGTATAACAATTTAAATTCCAAATTCTCAAGAGTGATTTATTATGCTGCAGAAACAGTGTGACTTCTTTGTTATTTCTGTCCACTGAAAGGCAGGTCTGGGAGGAGCTAAGCTTTGAGGTTTGCTCCAATGGACCTTGACTTTCTGAAGACTGTCAGTTCTACCACCTCCTTGTTATGGCCTCTTCTCTTGTGCCTGTCACCAAAGACACTCTGTACATCTGCAGCACAGAGAAGGCAAATGCACTGATTTGGGCAAAGTCTTTCTAAGGTGACTGCTGGCTCCTTTTTATTCTTTAGCATCTCATACTCCTCCCAACACAAGTCTAGTGTTTACTTTGTTACTATACAACACAGATGTTGAATATGCTACCATGCTAGTCTCTATGCTGGTAGAGCATAGATGGATCTCAATTCCTCCAGTTATTTTGCAGGCTTCCCCCATTCTATTATTTGAAGAAGAGCCATCATGTTGTAATAGAATATTGAAAATTTTTGTTGACAGAGGTTACATTGCTAGAAAGAGAATTCACTTACGTATGGTTTGACTTTTTAAAATGGCAACATTGATTACAAACAACATTTAAATGTTCAATATTAGTTAAAGCACACTACCACATGGATATGACAACTATTTAAACACAGAAATGCCAGAAAACAATTTCTACTTGGATTTTCCAAGAGGTTTTTTTCTTCCTCAATTTATGGTAGGAATCAGTTATCTTTGTCTGGTGATGTGGTATTTTAAAGTAAACACTTAAGTTAGGAAAAAGTTACCTTGGATTGGTGATAGGGTCATTTAAAGAAAATGACATTTAAGTCACAGATAAGTTACCTTTGATTGGTGATGGCGTCTTTTTAAGAAAATGACGTTCTGTTGTTCTTAAAGGAAATGGATTTCCCACTTCAAAGTTTTCCACCAACTTTGACACTGTATCCCAGAGATGTACATACTCCTTCATGATGACATCTCCTACATTCAAATTCAGGCCTGGATCACAAAATTAAAAATACACAGTTAAGAAGTACTGACACACGCATTAAAGCACATAACATCATTAAGTCAGTAGGCTCTGAAATATGAGGCTAACAGTGAAATTTTCAATGAGCTTACCACTGAATCTAAATGAAAAGGATCACAGCTGTTGACAATGACAAGGTACATATCAAAACTGATCTTGTCTTTCTGCTTGAGAACTTGATATTAAAAATTAATGTCTTAACTAAGGATAACCAACAGCAGAGATTTAATTTTTTAAGATGATAAAAATATTGTACAACATATAGCTTCTTAACCAATAACACTGAATAAAACTAAAATAAAAATTAACAATGAACCATTATTTTCAAAGTAGGTAATTTATTCCAATTCCTAAAATATGACAGGACCAAATCTTGATGTTAAAGACATTTCTATACTACTGACTGAAGCACTAGTCTCTCAAAATGTGTTTTCTTTTTCTTTGATTATAAAAACACAAGAAAAAATAGTCTAACAAAACACAAATTATATAAGAATACATAGATAGTATCTCTTAGAAAAACTTAAAATCACTAAATATCTAGTAAAGTGAAATGTTTGTATTCATGAGCAATTTCATGAATAAATATTACATGCCATTTATGAAAACAATCTGTTATGAACTGTCAGACACATGAACATACACATTTAACAAACATAATTATGGAGTGCTAATAAACTGGAAATTATTTTTGAATTGTTATATTCATTCTGATTGCCACAAATGAAAATTATAAACAAAGACTGGGAAACTGAAATAATTACTGTTTATACAATAGACATTTACAAAATGGTTTTGAAGCTTGAAACTCTTCATGAGCTTTCTCTCTAAAGCAAGATGATGTGTATTATATAGTAAGCTGAGACTTCTGCGTTTTCTATCTAGAGAAAGGTGAGGTGTATTATATAGTAAGCTGATACCTTCTGAGTTTTCATTTTCATAGTAAAAAGCAATATTCTTCAACAGAGGCTCATCACTTAAATCAGAAAGGTGAAGGAAATCCAAACTCCAAAATTCAATCATGTTCACATTACTTAGGATGAAATAGTCACACCACTGTTTCTGGAAATCAAAAAAGAAGTTGTTGACAGCTTTCATGTCCACAGTAATATGTAGAATGACTCCATACGCATCTATAATCCAAATGAAAGGCAAAGAAGAAGACTATCCGAATTCTCATTAGAATGTAAACCCACTTAGGCTGAATAACGATTATACTTTGTTCCTAAAAAATTGAAGCATTACATAAAATAAAAACTGACTCAAAAATAAATTTAAACTGTACGTAATCTCAACACTTGGGAGGCTAAGAAAGAAAGATGCCTGCAAAATTAAGGCCTGTCTATGTTACACAGTCAGTCTCAGACCAACCTGGGTTACAGAGTAAAATCTTGTCTCAAAAAAAAAAATTTATCATCAGTTAAAGAAATATCTATTTATTTTCTATTGATTGTTTCCTCCCAATGTAATCTAAAATCTCAAAAACTGTATATTTCTTAAGCTTTTGAATGTGTTTCTATTATTTTCCTAGGTTTCTTTGTCTATTTTGGGTTGTAAATGTTGGGCTGCTAAGGGTTCTAGAAAGAAAAACATTTCCCACCCACCAATGCTGATAGGTCTCCACTAACTTAAGGCTACGTGGAGATATTCCATTGTAACAAAGACACAATGTCTGCACAAACAACACTTACACAGTAGACACAACTCTTCCTCAATGGTATGATTTACAGAATTAAAGTGAGAAGCTCCCAAGTGAGTTTTCATTATTCTCTATGCCTTGGTATTAAAACTTAATGGTTCCCAACATAAAGAGGAAAATAAAGCTAATATTTCTGATCAGCTAAAATTATCAGGTACATCTTGCCAGGCCATCCTAGAAAACTGTTAAATATTTCAAGATTTTTTTTATAATGTCTTTTAACCGAAAGCACTTCCTTGTATATTAAAAATTGTCAAAAATTCTTCAATGCTAACAGTTGTGCAAGGGAGGCTTCCGTTCAAGTCCATATCACATCTGCTGCATTCATGCCAGGTCCCATTTATGGACCAGACTTAAGCTACATAAAGGTGACACAATAATTTAATATAATTGAGAAATAAATCAATAATAATAGTCAAAGCACATTACTGGTGCCACAATGTTTATTTTAATTGCAGATAACAATAGATTTAATATATTTAGTATATGACCCATACTAAAACATCTAAATGAAAATGGGATTGAGAAGTGGAGTCTTCCTATCTTTCATTAATAACAGAGTCACACAGAGCCTGCTACCCTTAGGCCCTAACACCAAAGGAATGTCCTCCTATGGGGTTTAGGATACAGAATTTTCCCTCAAGAATCAGTAGAACCTCCATAGAACCACCTTCATCATGCTAGTATTTACTACACCATGGAACTCTTCAAAAATTTCATTACAGCAGCTATGAATGTTCACTAGTGCAGATATTCAATATGTCCTGATACTCTTTTATAAGGATATGAGCATGATGTTGGTGTGTGCAGGTGGACAGAGGCCACAGAATGACTTCAGGAGTCATTACCTGGTAAATCCCACTTTATGTATGTGACAGGGCCTCTCACTGGTCCGGAGCTTGACCAAGTAGGATGTACGTTCAACAAGTGATCTTTCCATTTAACTATCTGGGGGATTACAAGTGACCATCACCATGCCTGATTTGATTTCATACATGGTTGTATGTTGTAGGAGCTTCGGGTTGCATTCCTGCCACCCAGCTCCCGGTCGCCTTGCTAGCTTATGCCCCAAAATAACAACACACAAACTGTATTCTTTTAAACACTGCCTGGCCCATTTCTATTAATGTGTGTAGCACCCCAAGTTGCGCTTACCGGGAATATTCTAGCCTACGTCCATCCTGGGTCAGAGCTTTATCGCATCTGGCTCTGAGAGGAGCTGCATGATTTCTGAGCTCCTCCCAGCTCAGAGCATTCCTCTTCGTCCAAGCATTCTGTTCTGTTTACTCTGCCTATCTAAATTCTGCCCTATCACATGGGCCAAGGCAGTTTCTTTATTAGCCAATGACCTTTCTCCATCAGTTGTGCATTGCGGATCAAAATTTGGTTCTCAGGCTTCCAAGGTACGTGCCTTGCCAACTGAACCATCATTCATGAGCCCTATTCCTAAACTACAGTTCCCAATCCTGGGTCACATTATGCTAATATAGTAAATGTAATACAAGCATTATCAAGTAAAATTAATGTAACTTAATCACCACTTCAGTCACAGTCAAATCAATACACTCCATGAATTTCCTTTGCATCTCCCATGCTGGACTTTGAGACTGGGGCATTTTTGGAAATGCTACTCCTCATTGAGTAAGAAAGGCACACTCTCCATGCAGCTGTGCTGTCTCCAGGTAGACTTAAGTCACTCCTCAGAGTGCTACTGTAGAAGTATACTCAGAGTATAGTGTAGAGTGCTCAAAAGCTCTTCCTTAGCCTCTAACACCATCAACAAGAAGGTGGCTAAATAGTTCCCTAATCCCTCCAAATCCAGCTTTGTATCTACACTCTGATGGTCTATTTGCAAGTAAAACAGTGTGTGTGTGTGTGTGTGTGTGTGTGTGTGTGTGTGTGTGTGTGTGTAAAAAGAAGTGTCATTTGCTTAATTAAAACCATTTAGTAGGCACTCAGTGAACATATGATGAACTTATCTGCCATGACCTACAGGATGCTACCTGATTTGTCTCTCACTCACTACATCAGCTTCATCACTAACCCTATAGTTTTCTGTCCTTGATACAATGAGTGGACCCCAGTCCCTTGGCCGTACTATCTTTAGGACAGTCACACACAGTGCTTTTTCTCCTTCCACAATCTGGTTTCCTTTCTGTCCACCCTGCTAACACCTACCCATCCTTCAGGACTTGGGTCATATAACTTCTTAAGAGATCTTTTCACTATTGATTTCAAAAGTACCCTAGATGTTCCTTCATAGTAAGTGTTAATATTCAGTCTGTGTCTTCTTTATAAGATGTAATTGTCTAGAAGAACTAGGGTGGAATGATGAAGGGTGTTCATCTCACTCCATCTCCATGATGGAAGAGCACATTCCTAATTTCATTGGGTATAAGACACTTTTCTTGACTGTTTATCTCAGGATCCTAAAAGAAAGTCTACATGACTAAAACACATATATGATGTATACTTTCATATGTATATGATATATATTTATGTAAATATACTGCATATATATGAAGATGCAATTAGTAGTCATTAAAGATGATATCATCCAATATAGGAAAGAAAGGAGGATGCGAAAAGAAAAAAATGTGTATGGATATTTTCCATGCTATAAAAAACACAAATATCTGTTTGTTTAAAATGAAGAGAATAAACTGGAGTGTTAACAGATTCTGGCACTGATTTACAAAGAAAACTCTGGAGATATTTTTGCTTTCTGTTTTCCTAAGGTCTCCAAAATCTCTGTATCCATAATCTGGAATGGGAGAAAATAATAAAGCCTTGCATCCATTCGCTCAGTTCTTTCTCAGTGCAGAAGGTGGCGGTCACCAGGAACTTCCTCATTAATGAAAAAACTCCTCACAATGACAAGAATTTTAAAAAGGAAAATTTCGAAAAGCTCCTCTTTGGGTTGGATACATGCCATGATGGTTGTTATTAATAACAATCATATTGTTTAATACAATTGTTGAAACTAGCCAAGTGACTGACTTAAACAAGCCAATCTTTGAAGATTCCAAACTTTAACACCACCCTGTATAAATCTATTTTGAAAGTTAACGTGGCTTTTAAAGTATCAAGTAGTTAAAACAAAAGTATAAGTGAAAGGCAAGTATATTTACCATTTTAAAGACAGTTTTGAGGTCCTTAATCCAAGCAGAAGTGATAAATCTTGAGCAGGCTCTCTGGGAAAGAGGTAGGTGAAGTTGAAAAACCACACTGAGGCAGTGGAGCTTACAGAAGTCTTCCACATCCTTCAGGGTTAAACAACTACCTTGTTCCTGTAGAAAGTAAAGAAGGTGAGTAGAGATCAGCAAGCTGGGAGACTACATACTCAATCTGCAGAAGCCCGAACTTTGTAGCTAAGCTCTCTACATGGGAATTCCACATTTACACATTCTCCATTTCTAAGACAGTACTTACCTAGATATTAGGCTATGTTAAAATCATTTGAGATAGAGGGAAAAGGAAGCTTCTAGCTTTGCAGAAGCTGGTGTAAGGCATAGCTCAGTATTTTCAGGGACTCCAGATTTAAACTAATAAACCAGGTGGTGAACCTGAAGTTCCAGGGGACCTTGAGTGGGGAAGCTACATGCTACATTCTCTCTTCCATTGAAGCAACCTACTCTGAAGACAATATTATGAACGACCTCCATGAGGACAACAGGATAGCAATGTAGCTTAAGGCTGTAACTGCATGATGAGAACAGCGGTAAATAAGTAGATATGCTTAGCATCATGGGGCAAGGACATCATTGCTATTGGCAAATATTTTGTCTTGTTGGAGGAGCAAGGATACTTCAATGGGACACTCCTAGGATGCCAGAGAGGGTCTAATGTTTAGAAGTTCCAGGGAGATAAGTTTGACTTATTATCATAATTTAGGGAAGAATTAAATTTGGACATATAATCATGTAGAAAAGTTTCATTAAATATACATTTAAGGAGATACTGCAAAGCAAAATATTAAAAACTGAACCTTGTTTATTTCTGAAATCTAGAAAGTTAATAGGATTCATTAGCTGAGACTCCATACTACTGAGATTACATATAAAATGGTATGTGTGGATGTGTATACTTTAGTGCCCATGAGAACATATCTGCAGAGATGACTGTTTAGTCATAGCTAAACCTCAACTGGCCACCAGATTCTTGACCTTTTCTGCAATAAAGAAAACTAAGAAGAGTAGTCTCTGCTTAGCCAGTAGGGTACCACTGTGTGAGCCTATCTTTTAAAGTCCCTGAGAAATTTGCACAAGATAAACCTTAATCAGAACTACATTACTATTTAGCACCTTGGGTTGGAGGACTGTTACTCTCAAAATCTGAACGTCTGTGTTTTGAGGATGGAATAGAAATAACAATGCTTTCCTGAGCGTTTCATGAACTGTGCACAGAAAAAGCCCAAAGCACAGTAGAATAGCAGGTTGTTTCTTCCTTTGCCCGTCTGCAGGTGATGAAGATCACATATGTTCTATGTGAAGCACGTGTAGGTAACACACTAAGTCATGGAACAGCATATTCCTTTATGACATGAATTTCAGGGATTCTCCTATTTCTGCTGATCATATAAACAAGAGAGAACCCATTGCCACATGGGGAAATGGTTGGTGAAAACAAAATAGGAAAGCACAAATGCATCCCAGTGCAGCAAACCACACCTGTTTGTCTTCACACATCTGCTTGGAAGATTTCTTTTCTCTGTTCTCTAAGAAGCATTGGTACATTTCCAAGAAGAGGGAGCATGAAGTGACGCAAAGGGCTCGCCGGATGTCAGAGCCTTCTGGCCAGAGTTGCTTGAGCAGAAACATTGTCTCACAAGCCTGTCACAGCAGACAATTATAACATATCATGACATTTAGAGAACTGTATTTATTCATAAATGATTATATAGTAAGAAATGGGTCGATGTGAACATATGGAAACTGTAGCTATTTCCACTAAAAAATTATAAACACAAATTTTGAGTGATAAAATTATTTCAAAAAATTATGAGAAAACTGTTAACAAATACATGCATAAAATCTATAAATCAACAGGGAAATTCATTACTTTAAATGCTGGCTCCCTTTCCAACCTCACCACACCCCCAACACTTCCACACCCCACTTTTTCCACACCCCCACAGTTCTTTGCTTTAAAAGATGTTTACTGTGCAAAAATAATCGAGTTCCTGCTTGAATGGACTCCATGTTGCTTCTGACTGTCTCCTGGATCAAGGGAGGCTGGGGAATGGGTGAGCGGCAACTTACCTTTCTTCGGACCCAGCTCATCCTTACAGGGCAGGCTAAGACCCTACTGAAACCCAGACCCACAAAGACAAATTTATGTATACTGACTTGTAAGTGGATACCAGACATAAACAAAAGATTACCAGCGTGCTACATTCCACAACCACAGAGAAGCTCTCTACCCCAAACAGATGGAAGCAGATGCAGAGATCCACAACTAACCACTGTGCTGAGCTCCCAGAGTACAAACAAATTAAGGGAGGAGTTAAAATATGAAAAAAGGGACAAGATCATAATGGGGAAACCCACAGAATCTGCTGACTAAGCTCGTGGGAAATCACTGACTCCGGACTGACAAATGGGGAACCTGCATAGGACTGAACTAGGCTCCCTGAATACAGGTGACAATAGTGTGGCTTGGGCAGTATATGGGGCTACTGACAGTGGAACCAGGATCTAACTCTAAAGCATGAGCTGCCTTTGTGAAGCCCATTCTCTATGGAGAGATACCTTGCTCAGCTTAGGCATGGGGCAGGGTACTTGATCCTGTCTCAACGAGGTGATGGGACAGACTAGTTGACTTTCAGGGGAGGCCTTATTCTTTTGAGGAGTGGATGGGGGTAGGATGGGGGAAGGAAGAAGAGGAAGGAGAGAAGGTAGAAGGAACTAGGACTGGTATGTAAAATTTAATACTTAATAAAAACTTACAAATAAATGTAAGACAAGACAAAAACTGAAAATTACATTAGGGTATTACAGATGCCAACCAAGGCAAAATACAACAGGAAAAACAACAAAAAGAACCCAAGACCATATTATCAAAGCAATACACCATGATAGAGAATATGGAGACCAGGAATGCAGTGTTAGAAAATGTGTCAATGCAACATGATAACAATGAACTAAAGGGAAAACAATAGTACTGTGGTATATTTAACCACTGTGTCCATGGTATAAACAATAGTAGAAGCTTTAGGTTGTATTCTTTACATCAGAGCCCACACATATCTGTATCTTAGGCCTACTTGACAGGGACAAATAGAGACATCTCTTCTCAGACCAGGAATAGGAGAAAGATGTCTAGTATCTCTTCCACTCTCTGCCTCTACAAGATTCTGTTACTGTTGGTCTCAAATAAGGTAAAATTCTAGGAGTGATACACTAGGTTACTCTGGCCTTCACACAGACACACACACACACATACACAAACACACTTTTAAAATGATAGTTTAACTAAAATTGTTTTTTCAATTTCTATTACCTTTTCCACCATATTATTAAATTTTAAATCTCCAAACAGAGTTGTTAAATTCAGGTCTCTATATTTTTCTAGCCGTTGAATCAAGGTTTCATAAGCCATCAATATCTTCCTCCAATTCTGAAAAACAAAATAAGATAAGTTATCATAAATAAAATTATTATTTCCCAACTGCAAAACTCAGAAATTTAAGAAGCAATCCTATTACAATGAGGCCCTGAGTTTAAATCTACATTACTGTAATCGAGGATGGTCAGTAGTGTTTGGAAAATCTTCCAAGGCAATACTTGGATATCTCTTCTGGCAATATAGCAACCTTATTTTAGCAGTTCCTCAAAATTATAAATGCTATTAATTCAGTGTGCTTCTTTATGTCACATTTCAACCAAGCTCCTAAAAAGAGACTACAATCTCTTCCCCATAGGCATCTACAGTATTGGAAACAGTCATTGCCAACAGTTCCAATGCCATTTCCACTAATCTACAAATGGAGTCATGAGATGGTATTTCATTCTATTTTAAATTCTAAATAGTCCTCAAGTCAGGTAATGCAAAAAAACTCCTTTGAGGTAAATTTTATCTAAGTTTTATTTTTAATTATTTTAAAAAAGAAACTATCTTTCATTCCTTATACATACCAATCCAAGTTCCCTCTCCTTCCTCTCCTCCCCACATACGCTCCACCCCACTGCCATCCAATTCTCAGAGAGGATAAGGCACATTGCTCTGGAGAAGGCCCAAGTCCCTCTTTACTATATCTAGGCTGATCTAAGTTATCCATATAAAGAGAAAACATGCCCAAAAAGCCAGTACAAGCATTAGGGATAAAACCTGGTTCCACTGCCAGTGACCCATCAGTCTGCCCCAGCAATGTAACTGTCAACGTTTGCAAGATTTTTCAGAACTCAGATTTAGAAATTGCTATCAATACTATGAACTTGGGCTGGGTATGGTGGCACATGCCTTTAATCCCAGCACCCAGGGGTGATGGAGGAGGGTGATCTGTCTATGTGTTACTTACATTGGTTAATAAAGAAACTGCCTTGGCCCTTTGATATGACAGAAAACTAGGTAGGGGGAGTAAACAGAACAGGATGTTGGGTAGAAGGCAGTGAGGCAGTCTCCATGATGCTCCGACCTGAGACAGAGGCAGGTTAGGATCTTTCCCAGTAAGCCACCATCTCATGGTGCTACAGAGATTACTAACTATGGGTTAAAGCAAGATGTGAGAACTAGCCAATAATAGGCTGAAACTAATGGGCCAGGCAGTATTTAAATGAATACAATCTGTGTGTTGTTATTTCGGGTATAAAGCTAGCCATGTGGGAGCCAGGCAAGACAAAAAGCAGGCCTGTCCACAGCTCATCACTACAGAATGGTGTCCAGACATAGATAACGGAATCCATAGAAGGCCTGAGAAAGCTTGGGAAAGAATAGATAAAGCATGTTTTCTTGGTAGCAGCAATTTCTCGGGTCTGCTCTCCTTGCTAGAGGCAAGCAAGCGTTCTCATCTAAGAGAGGCTTCCTGACTCAGCCTTAGCTGCAAAACCCTGCAGTTCTTTTAAGAGGTCCTGCCACAAAACACTTAAATGGTGTTGATGAAAAGACGAAGGCATGCTTTTCAGTTTTATATTGTTTATAAATGTTCTTTTATATTTAAAGGGGAAATGATATAGATATGAATAATTTGCATTGATATGGATTTTAAGGTCAATTTTCTTATATGTATATGTATTTCTGATATTGATTAAGGTATTGTGATTGTGAGTTCATTTAAAAATGTAATGTATAATTAGAAAATATAGGTTTTTAATGGATAATCATCAATAATAGTCAAGCTTGTAGTCATGTTAGATTTTCCATTGGGTGCCATTATGTAGTGATGAGGTGAGCAGGCCTGCTTTTTGTCCTGCCCAACTCCCGCACAGCTAGCTTTACACCCAAAATAACAACACACAGATTGTATTCATTTAAACACTGCCTGGCCCATTATATCTAGCCTCTTCTTGGCTAACTCTCATATCTTGCTTTAACCCATAGTTAGTAATCTCTGTAGCACCATGAGATGGTGGCTTACTGAGAAAGATCCTAACCTGCCTTGGTCTCAGGTCAAAGAATCATGGAGACTGCCTCACTGCCTTCTACCCAGCAGTCTGTTCTATTTACTCCACCTACCTAATTTCTGTCCTATCAAAGGGCCAAGGCAGTTTCTTTATTAACCAATGGAAGAAACACATAGACAGATCACCCTCCTCCATCACAGGGGTGCTGAAGAAAGTATAACTTTGTGAGTTCCAGGCCAGCCTGAGCCACACAGTGTGACCCAGTCTATGAAAAGAAAAAGAACCACAACATAAACTCAATATTTAGTATTTGTCCTGTACGTAAAAATAAAGCCCAGGCCTGTTTCCGCTCACAGTTGGCAGTCAGAGTTAGGAATAATTTAATGATAAAAATCCTAACAAAAGCAAAATAAACTATCATGTCACATCATGAAAACTATTTGTACATTTGCAAATGCGCAATGATGGGCATGATGCAATTCTCAAAGAGGGACACATGTTCAAAACCTACTTTGATGAGCTGTAGAATAATATTCATATGCAGAATTCACCTTAACTAGTTAAAAAATAATCAAACTATATTAATTTATAAAATCAGTACACATTCTTTACTCTGGAATTTTCAACAAATTAGTTTCTCAAATATACCTCTATAAGTAAAATAATACTATCATAAAATTTGAATTCTAATTGTTTGAAAAGGCTTTGAATTATTGGCTGAAATTATTTATGCAAACATAAATACACCACATACTTTTCTTTAACCTGCTCTGGTGTGCACTTCTTAAATGAAACCACATAATTTATCATTTTACTGATAGATCTTAGCAACAGAGACATACCTGTGCCTCCGATTTCATGTCTTTCTGGCCTTCAATAACTTGGATTTCACACAGCACACAGTGTTTGAGAACATAGGGGACAAGATAACACTGCTTCTCATAAATTCTACATTCTCTTGTACTACTCATTTAGTAGTGCTTTTAAACAGGATACATATTCAAGCATCCATTACATATTTAAATATAGACAATTCTTATGCTTGCCTCATGGGACTTTTGTGAATGTTGAATATAAATAATTTATAAGTGTTAAGAGCTAGTCTATGATGCAAAGTACTTAGTAAATTACTATATGCTATTATTCATTATCATTATTATTAACCTAAATATCATCTTATTAAATTTATAATGGTTTATATACTGAAGGTAGAGTCAATACTGAATGAAGATAGTTACCTTTTAAAAATTTGTTTCATTTTTAGCCTTGTATGTATGTATGTGTGTGTATGTATGTTTGTTTGTACATATGTAGGTGTATGTGGGTAGGTAGGTATCTGCATATAGGGGTGGTATACACAGAGGCCAGAGGTGTCAAATCCCTTTGGAGCTGGAGTTATAGGCAGTTATGAATTACCCAACATGACAGGAATAGCAAGCATACTTAACCACAGAGCCTTATTTTCTGAATTAATTTAGAAATGTTTTTAAAGTTCTAGAACATTGTCCTGTAGATATGCATTACCTTATTGAAAAATTCCTGCTCTGAATATGAGCTTTGCATAAAATATGCATAAAGACGGAGGATGTCAGATGTTTGTCCTGAGAAGAGCACAATATTGACTTTCATTGCCCAAGACTGGATAGCTATAAAGTTGAAAAGGTGTGTCTGCTGGTCGTTCAGGCCTTCATCAGCAAGAATCAAGAAATATGGACAGCTCTGACCCAAGGAAATACGCCATTCTTCTGACAAGCATCCAGAAAATTCAGTCCAAACATCAATGTCAGTAATCTTCTGAAGGTGCATAATTAAAGCAGTTCTCAGTGTAAGAAGTCTAGGGACACTGAAGTATGCATATTCAGCATCCTATAGAGGAGGAGACAAAGGACATTATTTGGAAAGTATCATTTAGTTTTTTACTAGTTCAGGCAAGTAACATATCATTAAGATGATTGTAACGGCGTAAGCGAATGCAGATTGTCAAAATATAGACAGCTTTAATGGAGGAATAGACTTACAGAACCACCATTCCCGCGGACACCAGGAAAGCAGAAGCAAGGGCTGGGAACACGCTCACCAAATTTATAGGCAAACTTTAGCCTGAGGCGAACACGCCCCCTAAGGGGTGGGACTTATCCCTACATCTCCCATTTTTGTCTAAATAAGACAAAACTAAGCCAAATACAACTATATACAATAATAACAAATAATAAATATAACAAACAATATTGAGTGAGAATCAAAAGTTTTGCTAAACATTCTATCTCAAGGAGTCTAAATAATGTAGAGAGTAACTACAATTATATAATCTTCAACTCCATTAAAGATCCGAGAAGGGAATAAATATTACTTAACAAACGAGATATATCCAAAATGTGTAACAATTGACAGAGACAACTGACTATCTGGGCAATCACCCAAAGTCTTGTTTGCAATGTTGAGTCAACCAACTTTGGCTAAGGCCTAACATAAATGACATACCATTATTAAAGGCAAGGAACTTTTCAAAACTAACTTACCCTGTCTTGGCAGGATATGACAGTCCTGTTTTATCTATTGATGCATGCTCTGTATCTCTGTCAGTGGTTGAGGTATGGGCTTTTCTTAACCCAAAGGCCAGTTCTGCTGAGACAAGCTCCCAGTGGAGTGTCTTTGGTGCTCAACGTTCTCTCTTGAATAGAGCGGTGTTGCCAGGAGCAATTGTATCTCACTATCATGAAACTCTGAGTTATATTAAAGGCCATTTTCTACAGCTCTTCGAAGAGGTTGAAGATTATCTATCTATACTGAGTATAATCTCTATATATCTAAAGAACCTGATTAGTCTAATTATAAATGACAAACTTAGATGACTATTAATCTATATAATTCTCAATATCTATCTAACTTAAAGACTAAGACAATAA